TGAAATGAGTAAAATACATCATTAATTTATTTCTATTAACAGAGCCAGGTAATTCCATCTTCTTTTGTCTTCAAATGCCTTTTGTATTCACTTCAGTGAGAAGCTTCAAAACCTTGCTCATATCATGCTTAGTTTGTCGTACATGTGAAATCTAACACATGGCATTAATAAAATCAAATGTCCAGTTTAAAATGATGCTTCTCATTAAGCTAACTCATATACACATTGCTCTGAGCAATAGCTAAAAGCCTATCTTGTAAAGCTAAAGAAATAATGTTAATAATAAATGCTGACATTTTCAAATGAAGACCCTCAGGTTATAATTTTCTAGTTAATAACAAGCAGCATTCTGAATAAGTTAGATGAGATTTCAATATTCCATTTCACAACATTTACAGGTTTCCTTTTAAGGGTGCAGACAATTTCATTTTATCATGAGATTAATAAAGCTAATAAACAAGATATGGTAGTCAGGCTTTTCCTACCTCAGCTGCAATTTGTGTTAGATGCTTAGCTCTCACAGTGAAATGAGCTGACTTGAACAAATGTTTTTGAAGAACAGAAAGGGATATATATCTGCTATGTATAAACAGTCACAAGAAATATGGATGTAAACAGAGTGATACTTACATGTGAGAGCTGGAAAAACTTAGACTCTGATCTAAAACTCACTGAACCCAGGGGAAAAGGCTCCCTCAGGCATCTCTGGCTTTTGAATCAAGGCCTTTGAAATTTTAACAGTGTAAAGTGCGGACATGTAAGTTGTTGACTAAACATATTCTGCACGTAGAAATGGAAGCCATTGACTAACCTGAGGCCCTACCATACACAGAGAAAAAAAAAAGTGGAAATCCATCTTAAAATCACCATGGTGGGCAGAACTCTAGTAACTAAGCTTTCATCATAAACTTTTGAGAAGTACTTCTGTCCTAATTTCCTGCAGTTAAAAGTGTGAACTTGCTAGCTTCACTGCTGATATTTTCAGATGGACTTAGAACCTCTTCTTCAGCTTTTCATCCAGGTTGAGGTTTTGTTTTGCTTTTGGTTTTCCACTGTAAGAACCAATGCATATAAGCTATCCTATTAACAGTTATGGAGAAAGAATTCTGAGTCGCTGAAAGATGCCATCAAAAGGATGGAAGGACAGATGGGCAAAAGGCAATTGATCTGGCCATATACCTGCTCTTTAGCACATTCAGTTTTAGCTTCTTCATTTGTTCTAATTTTAAAGAATTACATGTGATGTGCTTGTTAGCTAGCTTCTGCATTCAATGCAATTGTACTTAAATTTGGTTTACTGTGATTTTTCAAAACCTATTTTTGGTAGTTTCTTCCATATAAACCCTCAAATGAGAGCTTTCCATCTTTCTCATAGGAAGTTTTATAGTTTAGAGGTCTTCCACACTACTGCACCATCACAAAGGGATATTAAAAAAAACCCCAAACCAACCTTAAATAGAATTAATTCTTACTGGAAGAACATAAAAGCTACAGTTGCTACTTGCTTAACTCTATACTTTTTGCTTTTGGCCTTATAATCTAGGAAGATGCCAAACACAGATAAAATTTTTTCCAGAATGCCCTGACATCGCATTCTGATGTGGTGCTGTGATTCACTTCACACTAATTGCAACCTCTTTAGGGTTTCTGGAAAAAAAGTGTCTTGGTGAAAGAAATTATCTAGTGTACATCAGAGGATCATCCAGTCCCTGTACCAAAGATTCTCACAGTATCTGCAGAGTACTGCTTGAAAAGAGGTTACTCCATCCTTTTGATATCATTTGCCTTAAAATTTTTTATCCTGTTTTGTAGCTTGTACCTATGCCTTTGCCCTCTATGATAAAAACCTTCATTCTTCCATCATTCTGAAAGTTGTTTTGTTTAAATAACAACAAAACAAACCAACCTTTGAATTGTATTTTATGTGTTTTGCTATGACAAAAGATCTAATTAACATACTGATTAATATTTATTTTCCTTTTTTTTTTTTTTTTTTTTTTTTTTACTGTTGGCCAGTAGCACAATGGCTTGGCAATATTTTACATACCTGCAGCCTTTCCATTCATAACTCTGAGGGCTATGGCCTGATCCTGCATTACTCTGGGCAGGTAAGATCCTAGTCTGCATAGTGTCACATTTACCCTGCAGAGAAAATGAAGGTCAGCCTTTAAAGTCATGTCATTATCAGTGTATAAAGTGATGGCAGTGAAACTTAAGGGAATGCATATATAATAAAACATTACTTTTTTGCCAGTGAAGCGCTGGTTTCCTGACACTAGAAGCACATCTATTTGCTCCCTTTCAAAAACAGATGTTCTGCTTTAACTCTAAATTATCTGCTGCTTTATAGAAACTTACATTACAATGAAATGCAATCCACAAGTACTGTGGAGATTAATAAACCCCTCCTCCACCCCCACCCAGACAGCATATCTACCCACTGATCTACTCTCCCATGATAAGAAAAGGAAAAGAACTATTTGTAATTGCATGCATTAGATCTTGAGTCATGCAACTGCTGTGAAACACACAACTGTAATGTGGGTGGGGTGCATGTCTCTTCTTTCCATCAGAAAACGGAAAGCTTTTGGAGAAGAGCAGAATGGAGGGCTGGAATTCAGGGGAATGATTCTGCTGCGCATTCATTTTAGCTGAGAGAAGAGAAAACAAATTAGGAAGCATTACATATTTTCACCTGCTTTTGCCACAGAATTTGTCTTAATCTAGCATTAGGACTGTTAATCAAGTCCATATCTGCCACAGCATTTCCCTCACCACATTTCTTCCTTATGAATACATGATGGCCTCCACCCATCCCACTGGCGCACAGTGCTCATGGTCCTGAATGCAGCCCAAAAACTTCTCAGATAGCATGTAAGATTTTCTGGGATTTCTATGATTTTCTCCTTGCTTTCTAGAGATGTGCTGTTCTCATCTCCATTGTTCCTCTTAGCAAGAATGATGCTTATCTGTTACAGCCGGGTACAAGGAGAGCTGGAAAATACTGCCATTCAACTTTGTCAGCCTTATTTCAGGATATTTGGAGAGGACAGGAACAAATCTAGATACAGAGAAAACAAAGGCTCATTTGTACAAGCAGAATAGATGTCTTCTACATTATCATAACAAATACATTTGTCATGTATTTCAACAACAGCAAAGTAAGTGTGAAACCATTAGTGTAATCAGGGTGTGGCCATATTAGAGGTAGGTCACATATAGAAGTGAAAAACCACTTTTTGACAACAAAATGCACCACCAAATATTATTAATACATGCACAGTGTTCACTGCAAAGTGGCAATTTCAAAACTGACTTTGGGATAATTTAAAAAAACCAAACAAGTAACTGCCAATCGATCTTTTGAAATTACCTCTTTCCTTGGCAGCATAACGATCCCAAAAGCCAAAAGGAGCAACTGCAAAGAAAGTCAGCAAAGAGAATATGCAGTATCCTTGGAATCTCAGACTCCCAAGCTGCTGAACTAGTAACTGTTTATTAACTATGTGCATGATCTTTCAAATGCTAAGAAGGTTGCCAAATTTAGATGTATTTTCATGTGCCTGGCCAAAGACGCAGTTCTGACCTCACCAAAGTCTCTGGTAAATTTTAGCCAGCTCCTCAGTAAAATAACTTGGGTTTTTTTTAAATAACACGAGTGGAACAATGTACTATTCCCTAAATGCATTCTTAAATATGGCTGAGCTGTCTCAGCTGGAATTATTCAAAGCAATTACCTCTTAAAGCATTGAAACATATTTGCTGTGCAAAACATGGTGGTAATTTAAAATGCTACCATCCTTCTGCTATAATTATTTTATCTCCAGCCGGGTTGGAGGAACAGAACATAGGATTTCTTAGCTCCTTTGGAGCAAAACCTGGAGTTTTAATATAAATTGCCTGTAAACGCAAGATTAAGCTAAACTAAACTACCTGATGACTTTTCTAAACTGAAGTAACAGAAGTAGGAGATGGTGACATCTTCACCTTTGTTCACTATACTTCAGTGTCTGTCAGTGCCTTAGATACCCAAGAAAAAATCAGCCAAAAGCATTGGTTTGGAAAAGTTACGGACAATGAAAATAGGATTTTAAATCAAGAGAGGGTTCTATTTGCACGCTGCCTGCAGCACTTAGAATCTCATCTTTTTAATTTTACCTTAACCCCGCCAAGGCTTCATTGAATTTTCTGACGTTTGCCTTTTTAACTTCAGATGCAAACCTCTGAAATTTTTTTTCTCCCCTTCTTTTACGGTAATTTCTACTCAGTGAATAAAATCTAAAGTACACTTCAAAGGAGCACTTTGCAATGCTACAAAATGACGTAAAAATGCAGCAGTATCTAAAAAAGATGTAGAGTCACTACACGGAGCGTAGTGACTGAAAACCAGACAGCACCTGACAGCACTGCCCAGCCGAACGCCACCCGGCCCGGCCGAGGTGGCCCAGGGGAGGAGGCTGCAGGAGAGGAGCCGAGGAAGCAGGGCTGGGCTGCCCAGGCCTGCCCGGGGCTCCCCCGTGGGGCTACTGCCCCCGCAGCGGCCACAGCCTCTCTGCCCGGGCCCCCAGCCTCGCAAGCCTTCGCAGGGCCATCCTCAGGCTCCGCTTAGTGGGCACCCCGCGTGCTCCTAAGGCGCCGGGGAGGAGTAGGCCTCTCCACAGCGCGGAGGGGACGCCCCAGCCCTCGGGTCGGCCTCGAGCGGCGAGTCCCCGCGAGGGGAAGCCGTCGCAGGGAGCGGGCCCGGCTCCTCCTGCCCCCCGCAGACGGGCTCCCAAGGCCCGGGGAGCAGCTCGCCCGCCCAGGCTCTGCGAGGCGGCTGACCCCGGACCGAAGGCGGAGGGCGGCGCTGCGTGCCCGGGAGCGTGTCCCGCGGAGGTGGCCGCCACGGGGCGCCCGGCAGCCCGCGGCGCGGCCCGGCCCGGCCCCACTTCCCCCCAGG